ATATATATATATATATATATATATATATATATTTGTGTGACTACAACTGGTCATTAATTTTCATTCTATTCTAAGAAAAACTTAAAAACTGTTAAAACTGTTGTTTTTATGTTTAAATTTAAAATCAATAGCTGGTTCTTTTTCATTTTAGCCAAAGTTATTAAAAGTCACGTGGAAGGTCCAAAGAGCCACGGGACACTTTTGAAAAGTATTCGCTTAATAAAAATACACTGTGATATGATTAAGAAGTTAGTCATATATCTGTCTTTAAATCTGTCCCTGCTGTTGCATTTGAAATGTGATTTGCCACCCACCAATGAAAAGGAAGAGGAAAAAAGATCTGACAATCATGTGCTGAGGCAGTATGCATTTACGTTACATCGTCAAGTTCCGTAGTAGCAGATGGTTTGAAGCTCGGTAGCGTCGTCTGGAACCACCCCCTGACGCTCCACTGACCGTAGACATGGCTGAAAAGAAACCTCCAAAGTCTGACTCTCCGTTCGCCACCAGAATATACCCGGCCAAAGAGAATCTTTCCCGGGATCAGATGCATTTCATCAAGCAGGCGGAGCTGGAACAGTGGAAAAAGAAAACATCAAAACTCCGAACGCGGAACGTTGCGACAGGACTCGCAATAGGAGCGCTCGTGCTGGGTATCTGTATCCTTTACGTCAACTGCAAGGTGAACTACGTAACGTTAGCTTAGCATGCTAGTGTTACTTTTACTGTGTACAAAATACAAAGTAAATAAATAGCTCTAAAACTCACTGAATTTTAGTACTAATTAATACATTAACCATAATCAACAGTCTTTAAATTTACTAGAGGAACTGTTCCATTTACTACGAAGATTTCATGATTTACTTACATCTAACTTTGTAAGTGTAGTATGCTAACTCACTGTACATTGAAATGTTTTCATTAGCATAATATAGACAAGTTAAAAATTCCTTAAATTAACATTTAGCAGACAATGTTAATTTCGCTCTATCAATCTTTCCTTTTATTGTGAAAGAAGAAAATCGCCCCCACATCCGCATGCTTCCAATAATTGCTCCTCAAGCAGAACTCTGCTAGAGGAGCAATTATTTCCTCTCAGAAGTTAGTTTAGTTTAAGGATAAATAGGGCTGAACAAAAAGAAGAAGAAAAAACACAATCTTGAGATCTTTGTAAAAAAAAAAAAGTGTCCTTTTCCTTCCACTTCAGTGTTTTTTGCATTAATCTATCATATAAAATCCCACTGAAACATATTGGAATTTAACGCTTGAACATTAAAAAAACATGGAAAAGTTCAATGAATTCTTTTACATACCGCTGTATTTCAGAATGATGGTGAATGTCTAAGAACTTTTTTATTATAAACGTCTGTTTATGCTTTTGTCCTCATATGTTATACTAAGTAGACCTTTTGATTCATTCGTCACATTTTTTTCCCCTTCTTCTTTCAAACATTTGCCTTGACCCATCGCTCTTAAATCAGATGGCTACACGTTTTATTCAGTCTCCCAGGAGCGGATCATGGATGAAATCGATGAGGAGGCCAAGCGTGCCAGACTGAAGGGACCAAAGACTGGAGCCAATTGAGGCAAACCAGGCTGCCAGCCTCTTTATGGACCGTGTTCTTTGTCCTGCTCTTAATAAGGAGAGGACGGACATTGCCACTGAGTAATATTCCATACCTGGCTGTGTTTTTTTTTTTTTTTCTTGAGACAGAGCAGGACTTTGCTTTGTTTTGATAATAGGGATTTAAGGGGTGGTTGTTTTACTTCAATCATTGATTTGTCTTGAGCTTCATTAGGCTTCAATCAGTGCAACAGGCTATAATCCACTGACCTCTACATGGCCTTTCAGTTTTCTGTGGAAGGTCTTGATGGTATTTCTGCCTAACTCTTCCATTTCTAATCATGCAATTGCACCATGTTTGAGAAACATAACAGAAGCTATGAACATTTTATACTACAGTGGCCGTGGATGGAAATGACTACTACTACACTGGTAAAAAGACACACGAATCAGCTTGATAAAATGTTATTTATGTTGATAAAATGTGTTTGTACTATATAAATCTAATGTGTTGAATTCAAAACAATATATCTTTAAAAGTTGTTCGTGTTGTTGTATGTCGGAGTAAAAAAGACAAGAGCCGAAGTATTTACAATTACTTTTATTTTGTTCAAAATTTATGTATATATGCAATCTGATCTAGAATAAAAATATAAAGTAAGACATTGTAAGAGAAAGGCACAGATTGAGCTTGGCAGGACAGCAGCTTCAGTGAGCAATATGATTATGTATTTACATTCAACATCTTTAATGCAGTTCATTAGTTTTGTCTGACAGAAAATCCTGTGTGCAAGGCAACAGCTAGAGATTCACAGCTTGGACTCTTGAACAGAGTCCGAATCGAAGCAGGACAGATGGACAACTGAGATTTTAAACCACAAACATGTTGTTGGACTGACTGAGAATGACATTTGAATCTGCTAAAGTGCACAAGGTACTTGATCTATAAAATAATACACAAACAAGTGCCTCTCAAATTAGAATACAATCTAAAAGTTATTTAGCATTTCAGTTAAAAAGACAAATTCAGATTCATTGCACATAGTGTGGTATGGGTCATTTTTTTTCTTTTTTTTTTTTTTTTTGGAAGATTTTGCTATGCATTGCATAATGAAGTATAAGACGACAATTTGACCGTTGTCCTGCAGACAGTCGGAGATGCCCATTACAATGTAGGTAAGCCACAAATGATCAATAGCTAAAAAAAAGCTGCTGGTCATACTGCTGTATCCAAACATATTTATGCAAAACAAAACATTTGTGGCAGCAATGGCGATTCAGTAATTCATGCAAATGGAGCCCAACAAAGCTTTGCACATATAAACCTTAGCAAACAATTTTCACATTTTGAAGTCTTTCTTTTTTCAATGAAACTTTTTCGGAAAACCTGAATTTTGGGGTTTCGTTAGCTACATTCACTCTCTGTGTAATGAGTCTACCTTAAAGGAGCTAAGCCTTTTTGAACTGAATTATTAAAATAAATCGAGTTCAGTTACATTTTTAATTTACACTGATGCACCTGCATGTTTCTTTTTGCTCCAGAAGGATTCATGGTACCAGAAATATTTTAGTTTACTTTTATTTTAAATATTTAAATATGTCAGTTTACTTTTGAAACTGTAAACATGATCTATATTAAATGCACTCAGCTATATACAAATGTACAGTCAATAGGAAAGCCAGTAGTTTTGAAACAATTTAACCCAGCTAGAGAATCCCTAACATAATGTGCTTTCTGCATCAACTTTCTCACTTGATAGTACCTTAGTGAGAAAAATCTTGCAAAACAGAAACATTAAAATGTCACATTTTTGTCCCATCTTATCCCACCAGAATGCAGACATTAAATTAGTTGTCTTAACGGTACCAATTTGAATAAATCAGAATATGATACAGGTAGATTCTTCGTATTAGTTCAAGGAAGGAAGGAAGTAAGTAAGTAACTGCCGCTCTTCTGAATGAGAATATATTCACTGTTCATTCAGCAGAGGATGCGAGTTCATTACAAAGTACAGCAAGTGTGTCAGCCTCACAGTGGCTCCTGTTGCTGTTATTATGAACAGCATCAAGTCAGACAAGCAGGAAAACATCAATTTCATTCTGGGTCAGCTTCATGGTAGACGCCACGCCTTCTGCAGCACACGGCACCATCGCTTGACTGCGTCGTTGCATTATCAGGGAGAATAATCAGCAGAGAGCTATGGCAGATTTACGTTTGTACCGTCGGAGTGAACCCGAACCAGACTGGTCAACACTCTTGAGAGCTGGATTGTCCCGTATCGGCTCCAGCCTCGTCAGTAACGGCTTCTGTACAAGTGAGGTAAATGAGCAGCCGGCTGAGCCACATGATCACTGACAGAGAGGCGCAGATAGTTTGGACGGTGCACCAGTGAAAGGATTGAAGGATTTTGACCTCTTGCGGTCACACTTCAGATGAGGTAGTCCGGATATTTAGAGTTCTTGGCCCAGGTTCTTACTGGAAACAGGAAATGAAAACAAAACGGTGACGAGGGCAGCGAGGACTCAGGTGAAGTTTAGTTGACGCTCATCTCACTTACCATTCTACTGATGTCGGTGGCAAAAGTGACGCCTTTACCGGGTTTGTCCTGCGAGCCGCTGCTGCTGCCTCCGAGAGAGTTTCTCCTGATGATGCCTGGTTAGAAAGTGGTTCTCAATAAATACACATAGAGAGTAAGTTGTCATATATACAGCATAAGGAAAACAAAAGTCATTTCTTACCTTGGAGAGGCAGGATGTCCACACGCTGCAGGCTGTTCCTGCGCGATGAGGGAAAGCCATTCCCTTTGGAAAGGCGGCGCTGCCGGCTGCACAGCATGGCTGCAGGAGAGACGATGCCCGGCGGAGGAACCTTCCCCATCCTCGCATACAGTTCCTCGATCTCTCTCTTCTGTTCGGCCTCCAAAGCTTGAACCTCTGATAGGTGTCTGTAAATGACAAAAAAAAAAAAAAACGTACAATGTGAATAAATTGCCTTGCCTTAAGCTGAATAAACCATTTTTCTCATGCCATGTAACCCATCTCTACGCTGAACGCAGCCAAAGTTGAGCAAAAAAAGAAGCTTATCCTCAGAAAGTACATCTAAAAAGAGCAAGTTAGTGTTTAAGAGTCTCTGGAAAAAGTCCCTTGAAGAGACCAAAAAAAAAAAAAAAACTTTTATTTCTAAGCATAAAAGTTCATATTTTTTTCTTAAGATTGTTTAACTACTATGTCGTTTGCGTTGCATTTTCAGTGTCTGTGCAGAGACGAAACATCACTTGCTTTTCTCTGAGTTCCTGAAGTTCCTCCATCATCTCCTCGTCCTCGCTGTCTGAGTCGTCGCTGCTCAGATAGGGGGCGCTGCGGTTATAAGTCGTCAACCACAGGTTGTGAAGGGTGTTGCTGTACTGGGGGCTCCCCGCTGCTCCGTCCCACAGCCTCCCCTCCATCTCGGCGGCCGTCACAGAGAGGCCGCTGTCCGCAGAGGTCCCCATCAGACTGAGACTGCAAGTCCTCCTCCGACCCCTCTTTCTCACCCTCGATCGCTCCCCTAAGATCCCGCCGTCTTCCTCCTCATCTTCTTCATCGTCTCCGTTATGATGCTGATGTTGCGGCTGGCTCACGGCCCATCCCGCCGGTCTGTCCACCTTCTGGGGGACCCCCGTGGGGCCTCTATGGGGATGAGGCTGAGGAGGGGACATGGTGAGGGAGGTGTTGAGACTGGTTTCAGAACCCCCCACCTCCTCTGTGCTGCTCTCTGACTGGGTGGTGGTGTTTTTGGCTGGCTGTGGTGCAGCGGCCACTGGGACAGGGGGGTCCAAAATGTCAACACTGGGCGTCACCTGGAATCTTCCAACTGTCACAGGTGCTGACTTCACTTCTGTGATGGTGAAAGACAAAAAAAAGGAGGCATGTTTCCAAATGATAATGTGCTCTACACAGAATTTAACTTCTACAAAGTTAGTTGAATCACACTTACTAAGAATCTGTGAGCATTTAAATACTAAAAATATCATTGGAAAATATTATTAACATGTTGTGCACAAATCACAAAACAAGACAATGCTGAAGTCGATTATTAATTCAAAGATTTGTAAAAGGCCTATCTCAGTGACCTCACGGCATCTGAACCAAGTTAGATCAGCTCCATTATGAAATTTGCAACAGACTTCTCAAATCTACACCAGATTATTTTTCACTAAGCTACTTTTGAGAAGGAGACTGAGTAGAAAAATTGAAGTCGCCACATGTGCAAAGCGGGCAGCCATGAAGTTGATTCAACTAAATATTGACTCTGAGATGATTCCAAATTAGAGCAGTTTTTCCTCTCCCCAGGTAGAGCCGCTCGTTCCGTTGTCTAATGTAGAGGGTTTTTTTTTTCCTTATAGAAAGTACTTCTGACTTAGCGATTCAGTGTTTAGTTGCTTATGTTGATGAAACCATCAGTTTTTTCTTCATTAAAAAAAGTGTCCCTGATGCCGTGCTTCAATTCAATAACTCAATCTGACAGTACTTTGGTAATGAATAAATAAATTGAATTTGAATGTAATGAATCTGACTATCATTAGATTGCATTAGAATGAATAGGAGTTGAGCGAATTGAATTTGCACTAAACAATGAAGTTCTACAAAAATGTTGGCGATGTAAACAAAAAGATTCTGAAAGATCTGCACAATGAGCCACAAAAAGCCTCACTGATCATGAAGTGATGAGAGTTTGTTGGATAAATATCCACTCGTTTCTAAACTTAAGTGCTTTAACGGCAGGCAGCTAGACTTGTGATTGCCTTTTGAATGCTTTCTTTTACTTCTCACGTCAAGGTCTTCAAAGTAACTTGATTAAAGTTTCAGTTTCAGAATTACCTGTTATCTCTGCACAAACTACTTCACACTGCATAGAAAACATGAACATCCTTAAACTGCATAAATAGCATGGACAAGGTATATAAACGTGTAATTAAATGGGACTGATTTGGTGATTTTTACGATTCAATCAAAAAAAAAAAAAAGCCATCAGCATAATCAGTTCACACTTTTCTTTCAAATTATTTATTCCAAAAATAATTACTTGGTTAAAGACAACTAACTGGGTCAAGGATGGACTGACAATCTGACCGGCATCTGCTGCGTTCCTTGTTGTTCAAGGAAGGAAGGAACAGCAAGGAACACGATCTAAGAACAGCCGGATTTATGCTTACAATAAATTGAGCACAGATGGACTTTGTTTTCTGACTCAATGGCTTTTGAAAGCAACAACATCAATCCTAGTTTGTGGCTGTAATGTGACATAATGTGAGAAAGATTAAGGGCTGCGATTAATCTTTAAGCCAAAAATATCAGTATGAAACAGCAAACATAAAAACCTGACCGGGTGATGTTTATCAAAAGCTAAAAAATCAATTTAACGCTTCTTTCTTTCTCTCTCTCTTTTGCAGTAAGTTGTCACCCATTAAAACAATTTGTGCTCAACATCTGCACACCATTAGAGACTTTGAAGTTCTGCAGTGCTGCAGTTTGCCCACTGTGGGTCCTTCTTACAGTAAACACACAAAGTGCCTGTATTTGTAGCCTGTAAAACAGAGGGGCTCTGTTGACTGTGGGATTCTGGGGAGGGTATAAATACTGACAGGTGTAGACGTGGGAGGAGAGGCCCGAACGAGCTAAGCTG